AAGATCATACTCGTTGATAGCTTCAAGAAACCGAAGCACATTTGGGCTCTGCCTTTCTCCTAACAACTGCAATCAATATGAAGAAAGGCATTGTGGTGGAATTTAGAGACAAACAAATTCAGTTCTTCTATGGATTTACTCAAATACGGAATTACGAGATGGGAAGAAACATGTAGCACTAACTCGTCTGCATGATTGAACGATATCTGATTCTGGTACATCCACACTGCCCCGATGTTCCTGCCAAATCATTATAAAAAAATCCAGTGATCCCATTGTTTTTTAAAATTGAACCACACTGGTGTATAGTGGATGCTCTTTATTACAAGTACCTTGCTGAAATACCGTATGAGCAACAACTCTTTTGCTAGACCACACATCCCACACATGTAAAGTAAGTTGGATACTAACTGCAACATCGTTTTAGCAGAACACCCATAAAGAAACACAAATAACAAATCCAATAATGACAAAAGAGAAATTATTATCTAGTCTATTACAAAATCCTCAACTATCTTCCAAAATACAAATTTCGACAAGTACCTTGATCTATGTTTCTGTTACATTATAAAATTGCACCCTTGCAAACATTATGGAGTCGTATACAAGTCAAGAAGGGGGTAATTGGTTTTTTCAGTAAATAAGATGAGTCCTCGAATAATGTTACAGAATTGTCTCATTTTTATGTTTTATTTTTAAATTTTGGTTGTAGGGTGTGAGGTTGGGCCCGGCAAGGGAAAGAATATATACCTTATTGTACAGCCACTCTGTCCAAGATGGTGCTTTGCATAGAGGGGAAACAAGAATCAAACCCATAACACGTTGTGGGTACTTCATCTGCAATAATGGTATGCATAATTAATTACAGTGGTTGAAATTGGAGGAAGCAAATTGAGAAAGGAGCTCTAGGAAGATAAGGACTTACAGCAAAGAGGGTAAGAATATAAGCTCCAGCTGTTGCCCCCAAGCACATTACTGCACCAACTCTGCAAGAGTGACATTATAAGCAAAATTTGTTTTATAACAATTTAAGCATCATATATAAGTAATTAATGCTCTTGAAAGAACATTTTATGCCAATAATATATTCTGAGGGTGAGATTATAGAATGAGATGCAATGCAAGATAGCTTTCCAAATTAAGAGCTTTTTTAAGCCATAAGCTAATTGCCAAAACATTGATATAAAGTGAAATAAGATTTTTTTTTTTTTTTTGTAATTACAAGATATTAAATAAGTTTTTCCAAGCACACTCTTACACCAATTCCAACATCAAATTACTTTGAGACGTAGTAAATATTTTCATCAGTTATTAAATCGGGGTATAACATGTAGATGCATCTCGAATTTTAGGACAAAAAAAATGGGACAGCAGGGTTTATGTAAAATATAAGGATTAAAAACACAGGAAAATCTAAAATTACCCAAAATGGTCAAGTATTTCAGGAATCTGATCAGCTAAATCATCGACGGATAACAACGGTTCATCGGGCCCCACAACAGCAGCTCCTAGCTGTAATTATTCTTAATACGGGTACCAAATAAGAAACAATGCGATCCATGCAACTCATCATTAACCATTATCAATAAACAAGGAATCAAGGAACGAACCTCATGTCCACGAGGACTGATGTGATAGATGCAAAAGTTGTGGAGAAATAAAGAAAACGCTTCTGGACAAAAGAAGAGACCTTCGAAGCAGGACATATCTGTCAATCGCCATACGCAGTTAAAAGAAGAATTAGATATGTTAATGTCACCTTACAGAAATAACACATACATTTGCATTCGCTAGAGCCTAGAAAAATATTGCTTCAAGCGGCTATCGAGAAGAAGCTAGAAGGTTCAAACTTCAATATTATTCGTTTTCTGTCATTCTCCAAACAAAGCATATTGTATTACAGATAGAGGAATTCTCAGGGAGGAGATCATTTCATAAAGTTTTGAAGAAAATGAGAGAAATCAAAAATCTTACATGAAATTAAACAAAACAAAATATATATATATATATATATATATATATAAA